CAGCCGCTGCGACGACAAGGTGAGGGCGCGGCCCCGGGGGCACCGCCATCGGAAGGGACAGCAGGGCCTCCGGACAGGACCTGTGCCCGGGCTGCTCAGCCTGGTGCCAGTGGGCATCTTGCTTATTTATCTATCTACCTATCTATCTCCATATCTATATTGATTGATTTCAGAGAGGAAGAGAGAGGGAGAGAGAGAAACATTAATGATGACAGAGAATCATGGACCGGCTGCCTCCCGCACGTCCCCTACTGGTTGGGGATGGAGCCCACAACCCGGGCGTGTGCCCTGACCAGGAATCAAACCAGTGACCTCCTGGTTCATAGATTGATCAGGCTCGGTGGCTTTTGAACCTACAGATGTCAGGACAGCTCCCATAGCCCTTCTGACCCCTGGCACGTTGGCCAGAGCAGTAGACACACGCCTCTGTCTGCTGCCCTACTAGGTGCTGGGCCCCTGGATAGGCACCTCCCATGTGCAACCTTCCCAATAGCCCAGAGCTGGTGACTTCAGCCCCATTTTACAGCCGGGGAGACTGAGGCTCCGAGAGGCGGCCTGAGCAGCCAGAGTGGGGGACAGGCAGCAACCCCCCACCCCCCGAGCCCGGACGGCACCCACCGTGGCTCAGGCCCACGCTCTCTCGCCCCCAGTCCGTGGAGAACTGCATGTGTGTCCTCCACAACCTCTCGTACCGCCTGGATGCCGAGGTGCCCACCCGCTACCGCCAGCTGGAGTACAACGCCCGCAACACCTACACCGAGAAGTCCTCCACGGGCTGCTTCAGCAACAAGAGCGACAAGATGATGGTGAGGGACAGTGTCCCCATTGTCCCCCTTAGCGCTGAGATTCGGGGTGACCAGGGCGCTAACCCCTCTCTGGCCTGGTCCCCTTTGCCTCAGAGTCTCTGGGTTCCCCAGAAGCAGAAGGTGCTGGACCCTGAGGGCAGGATTACTCCACGGGGCAGGACTGTGGGCCCGAGCCCCGGCCACCTGCCTCTGGGGCAGG